ATATACCTTGGAGTCCCTAGAATTTAGATTGACTTGTGTATACCTAAGAAATAGTATATATTGTTTATCTATCTTAGAGAACTTCTAAAAGAGAGCGAAACCAGGCAGGTAATATAAGTAAGTAAAGTCAGGGTTAAAAAAATAACTGGCTCTTCTTGTCTTATTTTCTTTCTACTTTTACTGGAGTCATGAATGCCACGGAAATACTTTTTTCCTACTTTTACCACAAGAAGAGGAAGTGTGCAGTGAACGTGTAAACATTAAATAGGGTGTGATATGCCCCACATGACTGGGGAAATGGGTGAGCAACATTTAACAGTTGAGTGGAGAGGCCAGCAGGGACAGTGGGACCCAGCTCTAGCCGCTGCTGCCAACTGTGAATGTTGACTCTGTTGTCACATCTTTCTTTCTCTCCCCTCCTTTCTCTTCACCGGAGATAATCTGGAAATAAGTATGTTTGCAAGAGGAGGCTAGCATATTAGCCAACAGTTTGGATCATGAGCCAAGCCCTGATATCTTTTTAAAAAATATATATTTTATTGATTTTTTTACAGAGAGGAAGGGAGAGAGATAGAGAGTTACAAACATCGATGAGAGTCATCGATCAGCTGCCTCTTGCACACCCCCTACTGGGGATATGCCCACAACCAAGGTACATGCCCTTGACCGGAATCGAACCCGGGACCCTTCAGTCCCCAAGCCAACGCTCTATCCATTGAACCAAACCGGTTTCGGCAAGCCCTGAAATCTTAATGAGTTTAATTTTGGACGTGGATCCTAGGTACTTATGGGACATCTGGGAAGAGAGGGTTAGCCTGGAGACACAGATTTCAGAAGCATGGCAGTGATATAGTGGAGGAAACTACAGGAATAGCTGAGCCGATTCAGGGAGAACTCATGAAACAAGATGAGAAGACTCTGGGTAATATCTTGCAAACATCCACATTTGAAAATGGAGGTCATTTAAAACTATTCATAAAGGAGGATTAGAAGGACTAGCCAGAAAAGAGAAGAATGAGGACATTGTAGTATCAAGGACTTTGAGGAAGAAAGAAGGATTAAGGAGAAAGCCATCAACTATGTCAAATGTTGCAGAAACCTCAAGCCACTAGATTTAGCCAGAATATGTCACAGGAGGCACTACAGTGAATAGAAAGTCAATGGTGCCCTGGTCTGTGCTCAGTTGGTTAGAGCATCATCCCAATAAGCCAAGGTTGCAGGTTCAATTCTCAGTTAGAGTAATCCAGAAATCAACCAATGAATGCATAAATGAGTGGAACAACAAATCTCTCTTTCTCACTCGCTCTCTCTCCCTTTAAAATCAATCAATCAATCAATCAATAAAAAAGAAAGTCAATTGCATTTGGGGTCAGACCTGAATTTGGAATTCGGTTTTCCCATCTACTTAATGTATAACCTTGGACAGTAAAAGAAAAACTCTCAAAATCTTAGTTTACTCATCCATAAAAATGGGTAACACCTATATCTCAAAAAAGCCATAAAAGCTATAGCACATGGCTTTTGTGAGAGTTTGTGGTAAGTAAAATAAAGATTCCATCCTCAGGAGGCTTGTGTTCTAGTGGGAGAGTCAATAAAGGAGTACACAAATTAATATATAACTCAGGAAGTGATAGAAAAAAGAATAAAGTAATATAAAGGCTTAGAGAGTAACTTGGGAGGGAGGATAGTTTCTATTTTAGAGAGGTTGAGAAGGTTGGTAGAGAGGTTGCCTCTGAGTAAATGACATCTGAAGTGAAATTTGAATGAAGAGAGAGGAAGATATTTGATGTTCTAAGTGAAGTGTAAAGGTGGGGGTGATGGTAGGGGTAGTAGGTTTGGCCTGCTCCAATATATCAAGAAAGCCTATATGGGTAGAGTGGATTAGGAAAGTATAGGAGATGAGTTCAGAGAGGTGAGTTGGCCATAGAAGGAGATTAAAACATAAACAAAGACTAATATGGAGCCGTTGGAGAGTGTTGAGCTTAGAGGCGATGTGTGAAGATTTACATATAAGACGTCCCTCTGATTTCTGTGCAGAGAATAAATGACAGAAGCTGTTATAGGATGTTACTGCTGAGCCTGCAAGAAATGATAGAGGCTTGGGCAAGGCTGCAGTTGGGGAAATTTAGGCTATATTTCAAATGTAGATTCAATGATTGATGGGCTGGATATGAAGTTTAAGGATTTGACTTCTAGGTCTTTGGCTTTCTCCACTGAGTGAATGGGGTACCATTTCTTGAGAAGGTCAGACATGTTGAAAAGTGGGATTTCAAAAGCTGGAGTAAGAACATGAGTTCTGTCTGGGCATGGTAGGTTTGAGGGACCTATTAGATATCCAAGTGGAAAGTTAAGTAGGCTTTTGGGATTTTAGGGGAAAGCAGAAGCTAGAGAAATCCATCTTGGAGTACAATATGGTTAGATATGACCACCCAGGGAGTCAGTATAGATAAGAGAATAGGGCCTGTGATTGAATTCTCCAAAGTTGACAGCAAAAATTTTCCAAAGTGGTATGAATGAAACCAGGAGGTTATAGCATGGGGACCTGGAGGCTATTTGAGAATGTGTTTTAACAGGGAAGAAGTAAACAACTGTGTCAGATGCTACAGAAAAGTTGAGTTTGATGAGTTTGTGGATTGTATCTGATCTTCAAGATCATTGGATTGGACCTTCAAGAGGAAAGCCATTTGAAATCTGGAAGACAACCGTTATCCTGGATTCATGGAAACAAAAACCTAATTGGAATGGATAGAGGAACAAAAGATAAAGAAATGGAGCCCGTAGGTCAAGTGTACTAAACTCTCAACATCTATAAGAGCCAAAAAGAAAGTAGTTTGTTTTCCATAAGTAGAGTCCCTTTAAAACTTAGCCTTAAAGAAAGTATTTTCAGCTTTGAAAAATTTTTATAACCTAAAATAGTACTTCTCTGCCACCTCTAGTGGATATTATTAAAATGCAGCCCAAGCATTCTCTATTTTATTTGAATATATTTGAAAAGGTTATGATATTTCCTATTCACATAGCCTGTCTTATAATCAAATATATACAATAAGAATAATACATTGCCCAGCTGTCGTAGCTCAGTGGTTGAGCTTTGACCTATGAACCAGGAGGTCACGGTTTGATTTCAGTGGGGGCCCCTGCCTGGGTTGCAGCTCGATCCCCAGTGTGGGTGTGCGGGAGGCAGCAGATCAATGTTTCTCTCCCATCATTGACATTTCTGTCTCTCTCCTCTCTTCCTCTCTGAAATCAATAAAAATACATATATATTTTAAAAATATTAATTCAACATCCAAATAGTATATAAATCATATATATATAAACCCAGCAACCGAATGGCAGAATGACCAGAACGACTGGTTGACCAGTCGCTATGACGTGCACTGACCACCATGGGGGCAGGTGCTGCCCCTTGGTGATGAGTGTGCTCCCACAGTGGGAACACCACTCAGCTGGCTGGGATGAGCAGCACTCTCACAGCAGGAGCAGCCGCTCAGAGGGCAGGTCCACAGCTGCTATGCTGACAGGGATGAGTTGTGCTCCCATAGGGAGCCATCTCTGCAGGCCACACTCCCCACCAGTGCACAAATCAAATCCTTGCACTGGGCCTCTATTAAATTTATAAGTATATAAATGAAAATAAGCCCCAAATATAATTGTATAGATTACACAGTGTTTAACTACCAGGGAAATGGTATGCAGTCTTCGTTTCATGGAAACAGGTTAGTGGGCACTCTCCATCCATTCACAGGAGTTCAAACTAGACTGTAACTCTCCTTCCAGATACCACATGAACAAAATTGCCCACTTTACTAGTCTCTTCTTCTGTAAGAATCAGTGAAATGGGAGACCTGAAAAGATGTTTCTCTGGCTGGTTTTGAAAAAGAAGGCAAATGTGTCAGGAGTCTGAAATTATGCACCTTGCGGCCTGCAGTGTCTGCTCTTAGGAATTTTTAGAGAATTCAGGCCTTTCCTGCCTGGTGTTCAACAATCCTCAGAGTCATGTTTTCATTTATTTTATTTCTCCCAGCAGTGCTGGTACCCAAGAGAGTTTCTATAAAAAACTGATGATTAGTAATCAATGAGAAAGAACTGTGAAAATGAGAGGCTCCAGCAGTCTCAAAATTACATCCGTGAGGAATTCTGATTCTAGAGCATGTCTTTTCCCCAATGAACCACCAGTAGAAGCTCTCAATGCCATGTAACTCATATGCTATATGTATGTGCATTAAAACCTTGGATAAGTTGACTTATTTAAATGACTTAGATTCTTCTGGGTCAGTAATTTGCACAGCACAGCCCCTTGACCTGGGAACTTGAAACAAATGCAAATTCTTGACCCCCACCCCAGACTTACTGAGCAGTTTCCAGCAATCTGCTTTTGATAGGCTCGTAGGTAATTGTGATGGAATCTAATGTTGGGAACCACTGTTATTGGTCATACATACAGTATACTGATAAATATCAAAGATGTTATTGTCCTTTTCAGGCGCTTGGTAAAAAATTATGCTTGCCATTAAATAGAAATAACTTCAAAAAAATCTGAGATAGCAATGTAGATACTGATACTTAGTAATTTTTTCTTCTAAATATAACAGCTTGTTTGGATATAGGCAAATAATTTATAAAATTACTTCAATAATTTCCTCAAAGAGCCATTTGTCTTTTTTTTTTTTTTTAAATATATTTTATTGATTTTTTACAGAAAGGAAGGGAGAGAGATAGAGAGTTAGAAACATCAATGAAAGAGAGTCATCGATCAGCTGCCTCTTGCACACCCCCTACTGGGGATATGCCCACAACCAAGGTACATGCCCTTGACCGGAATCGAACCCGGGACCTTTCAGTCCCCAAGCCGACGCTCTATCCATTGAGCCAAACCGGTCTCGGCCCATTTGTCTTTTGATAGTCATAATTTTGTAATAAATAATCATTCTGCAATCAAATAGGCAATTTCATATCCATTTCACAAATACTGTCCACTCATTTGTCACCGAGATTACCTGCAGGTGGATTTTTAATGTGGCATTCATCTCTCTTAATATAGAGTTCTTCTTCCAGTACTTCCTTAATTCTCTTGTGTGGCTCACAATATAAAAATTTCTTCCCTATAAAGACATTAACAAAGTTGGTTATGTACCATAAATTCTTCCCAACCTTCTAGCCATTACACTTATATGGGTAATTTTTTAAAAAAAACATATCCTTCTATACCAATGCAGATGATAAACCCTGTAGACTCTTTTTTGGAGGGGAAGATCTGTTTTTTGGGGGGGCTTCAAACTGTTTAATAATTCCTGAAACTTTTGTGTAGTTTAAGATACCTCTTTTAGGTGTTATGTGGAAATACATGGAGTTTTCTTCATTAGCTTCAAGAACACTTTCAGCCCTAGCTGGTTTGGTTCAGTGGACAGAGCATCAGCCTGCAGACTGAAGGGTCTTGAGTTCAATCTGGGTCAAGGGCAAATACTAGTATTTCAGTTGCAGGTCCTCTCTGGCTGGGGTCCTGGTCAGGGCATGTGCAAGAGGCAACCAATCAATATTTCTCTGACATCAATATTTCTCTGACATCAATATTTCTCTGACATCAATATTTCTCTGTCTTTCCTTCTCTCTGAAAATTAATGGAAAAATATCCTTGGGTGAGAATTAAAATTAAAAAAAAGAACACTTTCATTTGTTTAATAAAATCCTATTAAAGACTTACTTTGTGCCAGGCATTTGGCTAGGGGCAAAGGACATAGCAATGAATAATTCAGATGTGTGCTTGGAATCTACAATCCAGATATATAAGAGAACAGCATCAGCACTATTTAATCATCATTTTTACAGACTGAACCTGAACTGTAGTAGTTAATCACTTATGGACCTATGACTTTGTCCTGGCCTCTAACCTGTCCCTAAAGGACATCACTGCAATAGTGGGGAACTGTGTTGTTTGTTCGAAGTACCTTAGCTATATTTTTTCAGCTCTGTGCTATCTGACTGTGTCTGTCTCTCCAGTCTCTCCTGTCAGTCTTTCTCTCTTGTTCTCTGAGCTGTAACATGGTCCTCTTGCCTGTCCCCACATCTATTTTCTCTGCCTAAAGAGTGGTTCTCCTAGTATTTTTGCACAGGGAACTTGTATTCAAATTTCAGGTGTAGCCTTAAATTTTTCTTTTTTTTAATATATATTTTATTGATTTTTTTACAGAGAGGAAGGGAGAGAGATAGAGAGATAGAAACATCGATGAGAGAGAGTCATTGATCAGTTGCCTTTTGCACACCCCTTACTGGGGATATGCCTGCAACCAAGGAACATGCCCCTGACCAGAATCGAACCCAGGACCCTTTAGTCCGCAGGCTGACGCTCTGTCCACTGAGCCAAACCGGTTTCGGCAAATTTTTTTAAAAAAAAATATTTTTATTGACTTCAGAGAGGAAAGGATAGGGAGAGAGAGAAGCAACAATAATGAGAGAGAATCACTGATTGGCTACTTCCTGTACACCCCCTACTGGGGATTGAGCCTGCAATCCTGACATATGCCCTGACCAGGAATTGAACTGTGACCTCCTGATTCATAGGTCAATGCTCAACCACTGAGCCACACCAGCTAGGCAAATTTCAGTTCTTTAGGAAAACCTTCCCTGACTCCACAATCTCAAAATGCTCCTGGTTATTTCTCCTCGTAGCATGCTCCTCTTCCTTTAATTTCATTTATTGCAATTTATATATGGCTTTATTTACTTTATATACAATTACTTATATAACTAGTAACATATCTTCCTTACCAGACCATTAATATCCTAACCTAAAAGCAGGGATGTCTATTTAGTCAGAGCTTGGTATAATAATAGATGTTTAGCAAATGTATACTCAAATAGAATCAAGCATTGTTCAATTAGATAGAGCTCGCCCTGGTCAGTTTGGCTCACTGGATAGAGCATTGGCCTGGGGACTGAAAGGTCCTGGATTTGATTCCGGTCAAGGGCCACATATCTTGGTTACAGGCTGCATCCCTAGCGGGAGGTGTGTAGGAGGCAGCTGATCAGTGATTCTCTCCCATCATTGACGTTTCTATCTTCCTCTCTCCCTCTCCCTTCCTCTCTAAGAGCAATAAAAATATATATACATATATATATATATATATATATATATATATATATATATATATATATATTTTTTTTTAAAAAATTGGATAGAGCTCAAGACTGTTCTCCATGCATGTCTGCCAATGCAGCCTTGTGAATGTCAGGGAACCAGTAGTTCTAGTCTCAACACAAAGAACCATGGAACACCTAAACAATAAAATACTTTAGCTATTTAATAGCTGGCTTTAAACTCACAAAGATATGGCAGGTGCATCATCTTTTCCAAACTAACCAATGGAGAACACAAGTGAATAGGGCGGCTTATGTGCAGATTGGCCCAAATGGGGCAAGAGACGCGCTGCTTCTGGCCGTGGCCCTGGGTCAGGCCAGGTCATGAGGACCCCACACACCCTTAGACAAGGACAAGGTCGAGCTACCTTCTGCATCTCATTGTCTCCCCAAAGCTAGGAGTCATAGGAATGAGATGGGGTCAGCATTACTCCAGCTTAACTCTGGTTTAAACTTTTCCTGGTTAAAATTAAGGCAAAAAAGCCTTTAAGAAATGTAGCTAAGAAGGAAGAAAAGCCTAAAACAAGTTAGTAAAGAGGAAGAGACCACCTGTCCCAAGTTCAAGTCTCTTGACAAATTTCAGCCCAGCTGCTAGAAGAATTTATAGAGGAAATCACAAAGGTTTTGAGGAGCTAGTATAGGCAAATAATCCCTGACCCCAAAGAGAAATGAAGAAGGAAGGAAGGAAGGAAGCAAGAGAGGGAGGGAGGGAGAAAAAAATTAAAAATTAGCAGCAGTTTAATGTCAATCTTCACCAACATTTTGAATGAATTGGTCAACAGATTGATTGTGAGTACAATGAGGAGCTGTGATTACTGTGTTAAGGACTGCTGAAAGCAACATTATTCCAGACTAAACTGTTTTGTTTTTTATTAGGAGCTAATAACAATTGCTATAATTTATCGAATGCTACCATGCCTTAAGCATCTTACATGCTTAAGCATCTTAAGCATCTCACTATCACCCTATGGGTAGGTATAATTATTCCTATCTTATAGGTGAAAAAATAACTTCCAAAAGTCACAAAAAGTCATCAAAAAAAAAATTAAAAGTCTTGCACACCTAATTCCTCCCAACCCAAGTTACTAACCAAGCTAGATTAGAGAGATGTAGCCACAATGTATCTGCCTTTCAGCAAGGCATTTGATAAAGTGCATTTGTAGGAGACACAATGTCCATGTCTGAGATGCTGATTGACAGGTCAGGGGCTTCTAGAGGCTCTTCTTGGAATTGTTGAGATCACCATCTAATTTGCTCACTTGGATGTGGAAAATGCCAGCAAACTAACGAAATGTGAGAATGGCACAAACTTGGTAAAGGGCAAACGTTCAGGACTCAAAGAGCTACTTCTATACCTGGAATGAAGTGATAAAATCCACATGATGGTACAGGGGGATAACTATACCAACTTGTATTTAGGAATTATGGATGTCATAGACTGCACTTGTTAAATGTGTTAATAGTATAAAATGTCTGCCAAAACAGCTAAGGCAATTTTGGGTCCATTTAATAGGAGTGTCGTGTTCAGATCAAAGGAGGATATAGTCCCACCAGACTATCCTAATCTGATCATACCTAGAATACTGGATTCAGTGATTTAGTAAACTGGAGAACATCGGAAGAGGTCAACCATCATGGTGTGTGGGCTACAAAATATTTTAAAGGTAACATTGAGTCTATGAAAGATTTAATAGGTGCTCAAATTAACCTTTATACAATTCAAGGATGAAATTATATCACTTTAATGGGAATTGGACCATACTCTATCTGTGTATATTTGAGAACAGATCCCTGATTAGGGAGGTCAAGCTGTAGAGAGACTGCAGACCTTTCCATAAAATAGACTAAAAACATTTGAAAATTGACTGAGTATTTTGTGTGAGTGTGAACAGCCTGACTCTACTTAGGCTGAGGCCCTAAAAGGAGGTTTTTGGGGAGGTTAAGGAGGGAACTCTAAATGACTCTGCGATCTACAGAAAGTTTAGACTCCTGCCTCAATTCATTACTCACTTCTCTGCAACTTTCATGCCCAATGCCTGGCATGAAGTAAGGACTCAGTATTTGTTGAGTTGATGAGTGAATGGTTAATTCTACCTTTTACACCTACTGCCATGGGAATAAAGAACCTTTATATTCTAGCATCTTTAATGAGAAAAGTCCTAGATGAGAATTTTGTCAAAATAAGAAATTACTTAAATATATTAAAATACTTTCATATACTGAAGTATGTTGCTTTAAGGCCTCTGCATGCAGAGAAATAATGTATCATAATCAGTCATACTGGAGGTGATGCTGAGGGAAAAGGCCCTTTCACCAGGAGACAGAGGTTTTGGGGCTTCTTGATGAGGTAGGTCTTGTGGGAGGACTGGTTTGTGATCCCCCTCTCCCAGCGGGAGACAGCCTCTTCAGCCCAACCCTCCCCCCAGGGACCGCTGAGCTGGGAGGTAGCTGCAGAACAGAGACAACTCTCCAGAGACCCAACAAGGCAACGCTGCAGAAGGGCTGGAGACCGCTGGGATTCCGACCTCTCTGGCTTATTATCTTCCCCATCATCATTCCTGTACATCCATGGAACAGTATGGATGAGCACTGCGACCTGGCGCCGACAGACTCCCGTTAACCACAGCGTGGGCTGTGACTGTGGCCCAGAACTGCCTTCTGTGCGTTTGGGAGGGAGAGCAGGGAGGAGACAGCAGGGTAAAAAGTGGCCCAAAGTTGTGAGATTTTAAAAGGATTCGGTAATAATTTATGGACCAAAAGCCCAAGAGACGAACGAGTTCACGTGTTTGAAGTATTTCTCCAGCCCTGGCTGAGTGACCGTGGGAGAGTCGCTTCCTTTCCTCCAAGCTAGACCTCAGGTTCCTGGTCTGTAAACGGAAGGAACTGGCCAACATGATCTACATGTTTCCGTGAATATTGATCTATAATACAATATTCCGAAATATTATTTATATTACATATAACATTTTTAAAATATATATTTTATTGACAGAGAGGAAGGAAGAGGGATAGATAGTTAGAAACATCGACCAGCTGCCTCCTGCACACCCCTTACCGGGGATGTGCCCGCAACCAAGGCACATGCTCTTGACCGGAATCGAACCTGGGACCCTCCAGTCCGCAGACCACTATCCACTGAGCCAAACCGGTTTCGGCTACATATAACATTTTAATGACTCTGTATTTTGATACATTTTATGTATACACCCCCACCCCCCCCACCCCATACCTTCCAGGCCAGTGACGCAACCAATGAAGTGGGAGGCTACCTGGGGAAATGGACTTGGGTGCCATCACCTCTCCTTTCGCCAAAACAGCAGCTCCACCCTCTCCCTCCCAAACCTCCCCGGCTTCAGCCAGCCTCCGCACTCCGGGGTCCGCCAGCTTCCTGCTCACCGGCTCTCCACAATGCGTGTCCCTCTGCACAGGGGAACTCACACTGCGTGTGCGGCTCCCAGGGGCCGCCGTCGCCGGGCTCCCCGCGCGCCCTGCTCCCCAGCCCGGCCGGCGGCCCCAGCCGCTCCGGGTCGCTGCCCGCCTGGGGCGCCGCCGCCGGCGAGTCCTCCACCCTCATGCCGCGGGCCGGTGTCTTCGCCGCCGGCCTTCCCAGCATCAACGCCCGTGGCCCAGAGCCCGGAGCGTCTCCGGTTGCCATAGTGACCGCGCAGGTCCCCGCCCCCAGCTGCTCTCAGCCGCCTCCTCCCGGCCCCAGGGTGTCCTGCACACCCCAGAAGGCGCTGAAGCTAGGGGGCCGCCCTTAGTTACTGACCAAAGCAAAGGATTTGCCCTCGATCAGTTTGGCAAGAGGGGCTTTACTATTCCCGGGCAGGGAAACTGAGATTCAGAAAAAGCTAAGGAAAAGGTCTTAGTGGCCCAGCGGGAATCCGAATTCAGGGAAGTCTAGCACCAAAGCCTAAAGAACAGGTCGCCACCTGGAACAGGCAGGAGCGGGGGCAGGTACTGGACAGGGGAGTGGGAGGTAAGGTTATGTTTATGGCGTCTCACTCACACACAGAACGAACGTAATGGAATAAATGAAGGTTGAGGATTCCCAACTGTTGGATTCTAAGTGTTGAATCACTGTTGTTGTCATTAGACAACGCTTGTAGTTTCCAAGCACTTCCGTATTCACAATCCATTTCCATCTCTATAACAACCAATTTTACGGGTGAGGAAATCAAATTCAGAAAAAAATTGATTTGATAGCAAGTGGGAAAATCGAGAGTTTTATCTGGAGCATGAGATTGCTTTTGTTTGCTTGGGTGCTTTTTTTGTTTATGTGTGTGTGTGTGTGGGGGGGGGGTGTTGTGCCCCCCCCCTCCCCCAGCCATATAGAAGAGGGAATTATGCTGTGTTAATTTTATGAAAGCTAAATGTGCATTATTTTACAGAGTTAAATAGTTCTACGAGGCTTATAACCAAATACAAGGGACCCCATCTGCCTCCATTTCACTCCAGAGGCAATCACTTTCACTTCTTTTGGCTGATAACTATTTACAACCATATAACCAAATGCTCATTTAGCTGCTTTTTATTTTTAATGTTAGGTATATGTTGATTTTCTACCTCGGAAGACAAGGATTTAGCTATCATTCATGCTCACCAACTATTCAGATACTTATTGCCTCCTTCACCTTCCTAAAACAGATAAGCTGAGCATTTTACATGACCATGAATATGTAAACTCCAGTGATAAATAACCACACCCAGTCATAACCTTTTTCTTTCTGGAGTTAATAATTGCCTTGTTCTTTAATTTGCTTGATTTTTAATGTCCATATCACTAATTCCCACACTCTTCATCCTTGTGTAAATCTTTTTTTTTTTAAGAAGAGTTTTTGTTGTTGTTGTTGTTGTTGTTATTTTTTTTAGAAAGAGGAATGGAGCAGGAGAGAGAGAGAAACATCAATGTGACAGCATAACAACCATCACTGTCTCCTGCACTGGAGATCTAGACACTACCCAGGGTGTGTGCTTTAACCAGAAATTGAGTTGGCAATCTTGCCATGCACCGGAGGACGCCCAACCAACTAGGCCACACCTGCCAGGATTGTAAATCTTTTAATAAGTTCAAACACATGAGGAATTCTACCTTTCCATCTTTTCTAGAAAGTCTCTTTCAGAGTCTGGACTGGTTGGTTGCTATGTATACCTGTGGTTGCACAGCTGCTGTCTAAGGATTTTTCTTCATCATCATACCTCTCCTGCACTGGATCCCTTACTTGTGAATCCCATCTTTTTCTCTTTCTTGGAAGAGCATATCTGCAGTTGCCCTTTGATAACTGGTCTATGGGAGATAAAATATCCAAGTCCTTATAGGTTTACAAATGTCTTTATTTTACTTTCTATTAAAATAGAGGTCTAGCTGGATAAAGAACTCTACATTGGAAATAATTTTTTTCTTAGAATTTTAAAGTCATTGCACCAGGGTCTTTTGGAATCCACTGTTGCCATAGAATTCTGCAGCCCTTCTATTCCTTATCTCTTGTGTAGAACCTGTTTTTTATTTCTAAAAACTTGGAGAATCTTCTCTTTTTCTTCATTGTTTGAAACTTCATGATGATACATCTTGATTTGTGTCAAATTTTCAACCATTTTACTGGGCATTCAGTAGATCATTTCAACCTAGAAACTCATGTCCTTCACTTAGAGACTTAAAAAAAAATCATTTCATTGCAGTGTCATTGTTTTCTCTGTTCTCTCTGGAATCCTGTTATTTGTATGTTAGATCTCCTGATTTGCCCTCTAATTTTCTTACCTATTTTATATCTGTATTTCTGCACTATATTCAGGGAGATTTCCTCATTGTTTTCTAAACATTTGATTTTTCATTTCTGCTATCATGTTTTTAATTTCTCAGAGCTCTCTGATTCCTTTTTTAAAAATATATTTTTATTGATTTCAGAGAGGAAGGAGAGGAAGAGAGACATAGAAACATCAATGATGAGAGGGAACCATTGATTGGCTGCCTCTGCACGTCCCCCCACTGGGCACTGAACCCACAACCTGGGCACGGGCCTTTGACCAAAATCAAACCTGGGACCCTTGAGTCCTCAGAACAACACTCCATCCACTCAGCCAAACGGGCTGGGGCATAGCATATGTTTTTAAAGTTAACCCATGCTTAGCATGTGTCAAAATTGCATTCTTTTTAAAGATGAATAATATTCCATTGTATGTATATACCACATTTTATGTATCTGTTCATCTCATCTGTTGGTGGACATTTGGATTAAACATTTCCACCTTTTGCCAATTTCCAATGCTGCAATGAACATTAGTTACAGATTGTCTGTATGAGCTCCTGCTTTCAATTCTTTAGAGTATGTACATAGAAATTGAATTGCTAGATGATATGAAAATTCTTTAACTTTTTGAAGAATCATCAAACTTCTTCAAGTCGCTGTACAATTTTACATTCCCACCAGCAAGGCACAAGGATTCCAATTTCTCTAACTCCTTGCCAACATTTGTTCTCTCTTCTTTTACTTGCTCTTTCTCTCTCCCCTTTCATAATGCCTAGCTATCCTAATTAGGGTGAAGTGGTATCTCTTTGTTGTTTTTATTTGCATTCCATTCATGCCCTGTGATGTTGAGCATCTTTTCATGTGCTTATAGGTTAGTTGTACATTTTCCTTATAGAAATGTCTATTCAAGTATTTTACCCATTTGAATTATGTTCTTTGTTGTTGAGTTGTAGGAGTTCTTTATATGTTTTGGATATTAATCTCTTATGATAAATATTAGAGGCCCAGTGCACAAAATCTGTGCATGGAGAGGCTGGGTCCCCTCAGCCTGACCTGCACCCTCCCACAATCCGGGACCACTGGCTCCTAACTGCTGGCCTGCCTGCCTGCCTCATCATCTCTAACCACTCTGCCTGCCTGCCTGCCTGATTGCCCTTAACCACCTCTGTCTTGGCCCCCACCACCACAGCTTTGCTGGAAGGACTTTTGGAATGATGTCCAGATCTTTTGGCTGTCTAGTATTATATAATTGGCATATTATGCTTTTATTATTATAGACTATTATAAATGGTCTTAAATATTTTCTCCCATTCCATCAGTTGTCTTTTCACATTTTAATTTTGATGTAGTCCCTACTTATGTATTTTTTTCATTTGATAGCCATAATTTTTGTGTCATATCGAATAAATTATTGATAAATTCAATATCATGAAGCTGTTTCCCCTATGCTCTTTTCTAAGAATTCTATAGTTTTGACTCTTACACAAAGTGGGGCAAAATTAGATTTACACTTGTTTGCATGGAAAATAATACAATAACCCTAAATAATAAAAACATAGCATTCAAATTGTCCCCTCAACAGGGAGGTTGTCTGGGAGTTCAAACGGGGGGTGGGGCGAGCCTGGGGAAGGGAGGGAAGCCCCAGCTGGTAGCTGGCAGCCAACAGGTGCTAGAGACTCTACCAGTGCACACATTTTGTGCACTGTGCCTATAGTTAACAAAATAATAATACAAGAATAGACTGTTTCACATACTCATCACTGTAAACCTACTTTTGCGCACCATGTATTTAGGTCTCTGACCATTTTGAGTTAACTTTTGTATTAACATTATAGTGTGATGTAGGAGTCCAACTTTATTCTTTTGCATGTGGATATCCAGTCTTCCCAACACCATTTATTGAAAAGGCTATTATTTTTTTTCCTCCATGGAATTGTCTTGACACCCTTGTCAAAAGTCAATGGTCCATATATGGGAAGATTTATTTCTAGACTCTCCATTCCATTTCATTGATCTATATGTCTATCCTTAATATCAATACCAAAATGTCACAGTTAACAGTTTTCTAGAACATTTTAAAATAAAAAAGTGAGAAGCCTCCAACTTTGGTGCTCAGTAACAATAGTTAGTGCTTCTTTCATTGCTTTATCATACTTGTTGTTCTCAGAACAAAGGTTTTGCATTTCTTGTGTTAATTTTATTCCAAATTTTTTTATTCTTTTCGATGGTATTGTAAACAAGTTTCCTTAGTTTAATTTTCACTTTGCTTACTAAAAATGTTTAGAAAGACAATTGATTTTTATATCGGGTCTAGTAATAATTAATGTCGTTTTTAAACATTCGTTTAAAATCTTGCTTGGCGTTGACTTGTATTGACATAACCTTCAAACATGTGGTATCTACAGAATGTGTGAAGTGCAATTAACAAGTTTTGTTTGAAAAAGTTTGTGTTTGGTACGGTTTTTGTTGCAAAACTAGGGCTAAGAAGATGGCAGATGAAGAGCATATTCGGCACTGCATGCTTTACGAGTTCCAATTAGGAAGAAAAGCAAGTGAGGCTGCAAAAAACATCTGTAGTGCTCTTGGTCAAGATGCAGTTAGCGCCAGAAAATGCCGGCATTGGTTTGAGAAATTTCGCGAGGGAAATTTTTCGTTAGATGACAAGAGTGGTCGAGGCCGTGTGTCCAATTTTGATTAAGAAGCTCTTCAAGCTCTTTTGGTGCAAAATCCTCAAATTACCCACAAGAGCTTGCGACAACTTTAAATTGTTCACAAAAAACAATTTCCAATCAATTGCGTGCACTTGGCAAAGTCCAAAAGTTTGGAAAATGGGTTCCTCATGAGTTGACCGACAACAACCGTAATCAAAGAGTCACAATTTGCAGTTCGCTCCTCTCTCATCAAAACCGTTTGCCGTTTTTAGAGCAAATTGTTACCGGAGATAAAGAATGGGTGCTGTATGTTAATTTGAAAAGGCGGCCTCAATGGTTGGACAAAAATGAGGCTCCGCAGCCCACGCCAAAACCTGACTTGCATGTGAAAAAAGTGATGTTGTGTGTTTGGTGGAATTTTAAAGGAATTCTTCATTATGAACTTTTACCATCTAACCGAACCATTTCAAGTGCAGTGTATAGTGCCCAATTGGAAAGGTTAGCCCAAGCTTTAAGAGAAAAAGAACCCGCGCTGATTAATCGGAAGGGCGTAATTCTTCACCATGATAACGCACGACCGCATACTGCAAGAATCACTGCTGAAAAACTGCACCAGTTGGAATGGGAAGTTCTCCCTCAACCTGCATATTCTCCTGATATTGCCCCTTCCGATTACCATTTGTTTCGTTCTTTGCAAAACTTTCTTCTTGGAAAAAAATTTAATAATGAAGAATGCCTCAAAAATGCATTGACCGAATTTTTTGCATCAAAATCACAAGAATTT